GGTGGTAGGCAGTTGAGAGGCGAATCTTGGTACCCATCCTGTTGAAAAGGGCCTGCCAGGATCTTCCAACGAAACGGGAGTCACGGTCGGAGATAAGGACAGAGAGAATACCGTGAAGACATACTATTTATGTGAAGAAACGTTCAGCAACGTCTTGGGCAGTGGCAGTGGTGTAAGTGGGAATGAAATGGGCCATCTTTGTGAGTTTGTCAACCACAGTGAGAATGGCGTTGTGATGGGCAGCAGTGGGAGGTAAATCAGTGATGAAATCAAGGGTGACATGGCTCCATGGTGTCTCTGGAATTTCCAGGGGATGTAGGAGGCCATAGGGAGGGAAATTGCGAGCTTTGTTGCACTGACAGGTATGGCAGCTGCGCACGTAGGAGCGGACATCACAGTAGATGTTAGGCCAGAAAAAGTTTGATGTGATTGCAGCCACGGTTTTGTCCACTCCGAAGTGTGAATTCTGGTCGTGATGCTCGCGTAGGAGGAGGAGACGGAGTTTACGGTCAGAGGGGATGCAAATAGCGTGAGAATCTGCTTTGTACCAGAAGGGAGGGTCAAAATAGTATGCTTTGTCGGAAGGGGCAGAATGGAGGTAAAAGTTATCATGGCGGTATTCCTTGGAAAATTTCTTGGTGAAGTCTGGGTCCCATGTCACGCTGCCGATCACAGCAAGCTGAGAGGTTGGGGGACGAGAGAGAACATCGGCAGGGTTTGTACGGCCAGCACGAGATTCAATTTTCAGCTCTGGAACGTACTGCTCAAGAAATTCCATTCATCTTACCTGCCGTGGTGTGAGATGAGGTTGCGTCTTCAAGTGCTGCAGAGTGCAATGGTCCGTCAAGACCGTTACCGGCTGCATGTGAACGTAGCAGCGCCACTTCTTGATAGCATTGACAATGGCCAGCGCTTCTCGGTCATGAGTAGCGTAGTTGCACTCGGTTGGTTTCAGCTTCCGTGAGTCAAAGGCGATGGGCTGAAGGCCATGTCCTTGGTCTTGACACAAGATTGCACCTGTAGCAACTTGAGATGCATCTGTCCAGATGACATAGGGAAGTGAGGGGTTGGGTAGGACTAGGGTGGGAGAGGAGGTAAGAGCATGTTTGATGGTGGTGAAAGCTTTTTCCTGATCAGGCCCCCAATGAAAAGGCTGTTGCTTGCGAAGAAGGTTAGAGAGGGGTGAGGTGATGGAAGCAAAATGGTTGATGAATTTTCTGTGGTAGTTGGCAAGGCCAAGGAAGGCTTGAAGGTCCTTGATGCAGGTGGGCTGGTTCCATTTTTCAACGACCTGAATCTTGGTGGGGTCCATAGCAAGCTGATTATGAGAGATGATATGACCCAGGAAAGGAATGGAGGATTTTGCGAACTCACACTTGCTCTCTTTTGCAAAAAGCCGGTGTTCGCGAAGCTTCGTGAGTACCTGGCGTAGGTGCTCAGAGTGTTCTTTCAATGACTTGCTGAAAATCATAATGTCATCAATGAAAACAATGACAAACCGATCAAGGAAGTCACGAAAGATGTTATGCATCAAGCACATGAAGGTGGCAGGGGCATTTGTGAGTCCAAAGGGAAGTACAAGGAATTCAAAATGCCCATACCGGGTTCGGAATGCTGTTTTCTCGATGTCCTCTTCAGCGACGCGAACCTGATGGTAACCGCTTCGAATGTCAAGTTTGCTGAAAATTTTGGCCTCGCTGAGTTGTTCAAAGAGTTCCTCCACTCGCGGCAACGGGTATCGGTTCTTGATGGTGAGTTTGTTGAGGGCGCGGTAGTCTATACACATGCGAAGGGAGCCATCCTTCTTTTTCACGAAAAGAATGGGGGCTGTGTAAGGGGAAGAGCTGACACGAATGAAGCCTTTTTCAAGGAGTTCCTCCAGTTGAGCTTGGACTTCCTTCAGTTCAGCAGCGCTCATGCGGTAGGTAGCAGGAACAGGAGGTTCAGATCCACGTTGTAGCACGATCCGGTGATCCACTGAGCGCTTGGGAGGAAGTCCTGCTGGGAGGTCTGAAGGAAACACATCTTGAAAATCAGTGAGGACTTTCTGAATTTCTGCAGGAGGAGTAGAATTTGGAGAAGAAGGAGTTGAAGGGGCTTTTGAGGTTTGTTGAAGCAAGCAAACGAAGAATTGAGCATGAGGGTCTTTGGAAAGCTTCTTCAGCTGTCTCACAGAAATCACACTGCAGCTAGGTGAGGAAGAGGAGGAAGAGATGGTGGGAAGAGTGATTTCAGCTCCACTGTGCACGATGGATACTGTTCCAGCAGTCCAATCAATCCGTGGGTTCTTGGATGAAAGCCAATCACGCCCGAGGATTAGATGATGCTCTCCCAAAGGCACTTGCTGGAACTGGAGCTTGTCTTTGTATGAGCCCATGGTGCAGCTGATTGGGAAAGGGGTTGGGCCACATGTGATAGAAGCTCCGTTCGCCATCTGCACTATTTGGGAATGGGAATCTTGCTGGATAGGAAGAGATAGTTCAGAGACAAGGTTTGATGAGATGAAGTTGGAAGAAGCTCCGCTATCAATCAGGGCCTTGAAGGTACGGTTCTGTATGCTTATGGAAAGGAGAAGGGGGTTAGATGGGATGGTGTTTTCAAGAGAGATGATGGAAGGGCTCTGCAGGTTGCCAGAAAGTCGCCCCAAGCTTACTGGCGGTGACTGTTTTTTGGTATTGGAAGCAACGGTGGTCGGCTGGAGCGTTCGCGGCAGAACCTCCACACATGACCTTTCTTGCCGCACTTGAAGCGAACGACATCGGGCTTCACAGGTTTCTTGCCCTTCTCCATCACGTCCAGGTCCATAGGAGCAGGTTCTTGCTGGTTGAATGTTGCTGAGGATGATGGCTAATGGGAGGGAGCAAAAGGGAGGAACGGGCTGCGAGGAAATTGTGCCTTGTATGCGAAATGAACAGCGTCATACCGTTCAGCGACACGTATCATTTCCTCGAGCGTAGTGCAGTCCCTTAGCTCGACCTCCATGCAGACGTTGAATTTCAGGCCACGCTTGAAGCGATCCATTTTTTCAGCAGTGGACAGGTCAGGTATCTCTTGTGCAACATCACGGAAGCGCGCCGCGTACTCATGGACGGATTTGAGTTGCTTGAGGGCAGCCAAGCGGCCACGAGTTTTGAGTTCCGGGTTCACTGGTTGAAAATCAGCCGTGAAGAGTTGCTTAAACTGCTCCCATGACTGAACAGAGGTGTGGATGGATTGCCACCAAGTGATCGCAGAACCTCAAAGAAGCGTTCCCGTGAATGATGCCCACTCAGTAGGTGCAACGTGGCTCAACAGCATGTACTACTCGACAAGGAATAGCCATCGACTCACGACTGGCTGAAACTTTCTTGGCGTGAAGAGATCTGTCATAGCGGGTCTAGCGCGCTGATTTCCATCTGAGGGTGCAGCAGTATTCACACTTTCTGCCACCGAACCGGCTGCAACTATACTGGCTCGAATCTCAACTTGCAAGCTCTCTCGAAGTTCAGAAACGATTTGGGCCCGGTAGTTTTGCAAAAAATTAGCCCAATCCTCAGAGGACGGAGGTCCTAAGTCAGACGTCATGACGTAGTCCTAGCAGGAAGTCGAAATCTAGCCCTGATACCAAATGGAACAGCTCTAGGCTGTTAGAGTTTCTGAAGGCTAAAGCTTGGAGAGTCTAAAATGACAAGGTAAACTCAGTAGCATAAATTCTGTAAATTTCAGAAAGCAAGAATGGCATACAAGGGACGAAGGACTACTCTTATACACACTTCTATGACTATGGCGCCTTGAGAAGGTCATTCAGGTCGCCATTAATCCTATCTCTGCTGTCACCAGCAAGGAACGGCTATGTACAAGCAATGATAACAATCCTATGCTGGATCCTAGCTGTTTATATAGAAATATGCAAAGTACAATCATGAGATGGATCTAGAAAGGTATTATCTGACTTGGTCTTCGACTTCATGATGATGGCACTTAGATCTTGTGGTGCTGGAACGTAGTTACAGCTGTATGGCGTGACTTGTTGCTCTGCTGTCGTGAAGATGCCCTTGTGCTTTCTTCTCTGTTGCTTTGCTGGTTGGGAATTCACGTGTGCTTTGAGAAATCCCGAAGCGCACATTTCAGGTTGAGATTTCCAACCTCGAATTTGACATCTCAGGTTGGAGTTTTGGCGAAGGTTACAAGTTCGCTAGTGAGCGAACTTTCCTGTGGCGAGTTCGCCTTTGCCCTGTAACACTGGGGTCAGATGAAATGCTGCTTTCCCGTCAATGCCTTGATAGTTCGAGGACAACTATCCAAGCCACGTCCGTTTGCCACTCTTCCAGGCAATCAGGGTTCCTGATTGATCTCCTCGCAGAAATGTCCGCGACTCGCATATGGGCGCTGCAGAGGAACTGCGAGCTTCGTCGCTGCGCTCGAAAGCTCCGCCGGGACCACTTGAATTATTGCACCATCGCTGCTTGAAATATTTCGATTTCTGCTCTGAAACCCAGGAGGACCTCCACTACGGGAAGTCGTGAGTCATGAAGCTCTTATATTCGTCAAGCCACGCTGTAATACTAATTTTAAAAGGTTTCAAGTCAGATGGTTCTTATCCAAATATCACCGTTGCCTCGTCCCTACGCCTCTGCCTTCCGCGCCCCGCATTTTCTTCCGCGCGCCCCCCCCCCCCCCCCCCCCCGGTCATTCCAAATCTATGACGTTGAAAATCATATATGGGCTCGATATTTGGACAAGTTTTTCCAAGTTCCCATATTTCCCGATCTTGAAGATCCCACAACCCTGGGGCTCGACTCGACAAACAGCTCCAGCGCCGTGCGTGGACCCTCGAGCTCTGCTTACTTCATCACCGAGCTCGCACAACTCCTGACCTCGTATCGCTCTTCCACATTGTTTCAGATCCACTCTTATATTCACGTTCACATTTCTTCGCCACGCACTCGACTACTTGAAACAAGGTGAAGGCCGAGATGCGTCGCGAAGCAGATAATACTACACTCAGCCGAAAAGACATAATGGCTTCCCGATCACCGCTCAACATGCGCGCGCTCCTCTGTCTCCTCTCCATCGCCGTCCCAATTCTTGTTGCCCTTGTTCTTGGCGTCCAGTCCCGCGAGTTCTCATCCACGGTCACCGCTTCAGGCGGCGAGACTCCACGCACGCCCCTCCACGTCGTTTTCTACGGCACTTGGGACGATGCTCACGTGGCTCTCGTGAAAGAGTTCATCAGCGCGCTGTTAGCTCAAGGCTACGAATCGCAGGTTCTAAACTCTTAATTCGCGCAAGTATCCGCGATACTAGCTCCTTCGTCACCTCCTTCCTCCTTTCACTTGGTGTCATTCGCTCACGAGCTCACTTATCATACGTCTCACATCCTTGGGTGTCATCCTTCGCACCGTCACAGTTTCTTCACATGCGTTTTCCCGCAAATGACTAACGTTACTGTTTTCATCCGTTCTCAACCGGTTTTGCGTGCAGGCTCATCTGGGATCCGTAGCCATTGATAACAACCACTATGGCGACACCGCAGTCGAAGGTAACAATGTAGCCTCTTTAGTGTGCCAATGTCGCGACTTCCGATATTTGTAGTCCTTGAAACTAACCTTTACTTCCCATGTTCCTGACTCCCGCTCCTCTTCGTTCGCTGTCTCTTAGCCATCCAGCACCAAATTGTGTCAGGCATATATGCTATAGTCTGTGTAGGCTGTAGTGGGGCAGTTCATATGGGGTACAACACTTTAGGGTTTACTACTTGTACTCCTCATTCTGCTCAATGCATTCATTCTCGTTCTAATCCTCACATGGTATAGAGCAGGTTCCCTCGTGGGAACTGTTCCTAGGGCCCACCGAATATCAAATTTTTTTTCCTGCCCGGAGCGCGCTTGGCCCCTGCCCGAGTCGCGCCCCGTGTCGATACCCTCACTGGCCTCTAGCGGCCTCTCTCACAGCCCCTAGTGGCCCCGTCGCGCCGTCCTCACGGCCCCGTCGCGCCGCCCTCGCGGCCCCGTCGCCGCCCTCTCAGCGGCCCTGTCGCCGCCCTTTCAGCGGCCCCGTCGCCGCCCCTTGCTGCGGCCCCGTCGCCGCCTTTCAGCGGCCCCGTCACCGCCCTTCAGCGGCCCCGCCGGCACCCCTTTCTGCGGCCCCGTCGCTGCTCTTTCAGCGGCCCCGTCGCCGCCTTTCAGCGGCCCCGTCACCGCCCTTCAGCGGCCCCGTCGCCACCCCTTTCTGCGGCCCCGTCGCCGCTCTTTCAGCGGCCCCGTCGCCGCCCTTCAGCGGCCCCGTCGCCGCCCTTCCGCGGCCCCGTCGCCGCCCTTTCAGCGGCCCCGTCGCCGCCCTTCCGCGGCCCCGTCGCCGCCCTTTCAGCGGCCCCGTCGCCGCCCTTCCGCGGCCCCGTCGCCGTCCTTCAGCGGCCCCGTCGCCGCTCCTTAGCGGCAACGACTCCGCCCTTCACGGCCCCGCCGAGCCGCCTTCGCTGCCGAGCCGCCGAGCCGCCGAACTGCAGAGCCGCTGAGCCGCCGAGCCACCAAGCAGCTGAGCCGCCGAGCCGCCTTTGCTGCCGAGCCGCCGAGCCGCCTTTGCCGCCGAGCCGCACTGCAGCTGAGGCGCCGCCGCCTGTCGGCCTGCCCGGGACCGCCTCACTTGCCCGGTAAGAGCAGCGCCTCTGCCACTGCACTGCCCTACCCCACTGTACTCACTTCCTGTCTACTGCTGTCATGGCCACCCCTAGTGTTCTCACCTTTGATGCTGAGGTTCGGGCAGTTGACTTTGAGGTCTGGGTAGATGATCTGCAGCTTTTCCTACAGTGCGATAGGGCAGATGGTCTATCCCTGTTTGACCTCACTTCTGGTGCCTCTCCTGCCCCTGCTGCTGATGCTGACGCCACGGTTCGCTCACAGTGGGCCACGCGCGATGCTGCTGCTCGCCTTCCTGTGCGCCGCCACTTACCGACCGCTGAGCGTGCGCACTTTAGCCAGTACAAGAGTGCTCAGACCTTGTACGACGCTGTAGTTGCACGCTACTCTTCCCCTGCCACTGCTGCACTGAGCCGCCTTATGCTACCGTACCTCTTCCCTGACCTTGCTGCCTTTCCCACAGTCGCTGACCTCATTACGCACCTCCGCACTAGTGATACACGCTACCGCGCTGCGCTTCCTGCTGAGTTCTGCGCCAAGAACCCCCCCCCCCATGTACATCACCCTCTACTACATAGTCACCCGGCTCCCTGACTCTCTCCGCGTAGTCAGGGACCACTTCCTCTTAGTTTGCCCCACCACTCTCACCGTTGACCTCCTCGAGAAGGGCCTCCTAGAAGCATAGAAGAGCATTATTGCTGTAGGAGCCTCTCGTGGTGACCCTCGCACCCCCGTCTTTGAGGGGTGTTCCCCCTCCCCCCTCTTGCCCTCTATTGCCTCTGTTGCTGCGGCCGACCTCGTTGGTTTTGAGTCGGTCAGCGCTGCGTCTGCCCCGAGCGGGAGACGCCGCACCGGCAAGGGCAAGGGGGGCAAGGGCACTGGAGGGGCTGGCGGGGGCGGTGGAGGTGGTGGTGGAGGCAGTGGAGGGGGTGGGGGTGGAGGTGGGAGTGGTGGCGGGGGTGGAGGTGTCGGTGGCAGCAGTGGAGGCGGAGGAGGTGGCGGCGGTGGCGGAGGGAGCGGAGGCGGCGGAGGTGGTGGACGCGGCGGAGGCGGCGGCGGCAGCAGTGGACCTGGTCGCGGCTCTGCGCAGAGGAGTGGCTCCGGTGGTGGTACGCGCCAGCAGCAGCAGAGCAGTCGTGAGACCCTGTCCCCTCAGCAGCTTCGTGTGTTGTACGCTGCGCGTCAGCGCGGTAGGGGTACGGGTCCCTGCACCTACGTTCTCCGCACCGGCGACCGCACTCGTGAGCAGTGTGGGGGCCCGCACTCCACCCAGCGCTGCTTCGGCCGCCTGACAGACGCGTGGCGTCACCAGTTCCCTGAGGCCTCAGAGATCCCTCGCTGGGGAGAGCTGTCTAGGGCGGGGGTTTCTATCTTTGATCTTGATTTTGATGCTATTCTTGCTGCCATGTATGCTGTTGATGATAGTGTTGCGGGTGACTGTTACCTGTGTGTACCGCCTGACCCGGGCATTGAGGCTGCTGCTCTAGGTGCTATTGCGTCTACTGCCCCAGGTGCTAGTGAGTCTGCTCTCTAAGGTAATACGTCGGCTCAGGCCTTACACACCTTCATCCTTGACTCGGGTGCGTCCCGCTCCTTCTTTCGAGACCGCACCACTCTTACGTCGCTCAGTCGGCCGGTTGCAGTCTCCCTAGCGGACCCCTCTGGGGGTCCTGTCCTTGCCCACTTCTCCACTGTCTTACCGTGCCCGGCAGCCCCCTCTGGCACCCTGTCAGGTCTCTACCTCCCCTCGTTCTCTACGAACTTGGTGAGTGGAGCGGACCTACAGGGTCGGGGGGTTGACCAGTTCACTCCTGCGAGTCAGCGGGTGACCCACTGCACGTGTGCTCGGACAGGCCGACAATTGGCCACGTTCACCCGTCGGCTAGGGTCGAGCCTGTACACCCTTACTACTGAGTCTCCTCCGGCTGCTGAGTCTGGCTAGGTAGCTGCGTCGAGTCAGGTGTTTGCTGCAGCGTCCAGGTCTGGTCCTGATCCTGCTGCCTGCTCGTGTCGTCTACTGTCCCACCAGACTCTCCTTTGGCACCACCGCCTTGGGCTCCCCTTCCTGCCTCGTCTCCGAGGCATGGCCTCCCTTGTCCTTTTCTCTGGTCTCCCTCAGTCTCTCCCTCCCCTACCTCCGGGGCCTGGCCCTACCTGCGTCCCCTGCGTCGAGGGGCGACAGCGCGCCGCCCCTCACTCCTCCGAGATTCCTCCGACAGAGGCTCCGCTGCAGCTCGTCTCCAGCTCAGAGAGAGTTTCGGCTCGGACTTTCCCATTCTGATTTGCACTCTGACAGAGGCGGGGAGTTTTCCTCTGCCCGTCTGGGAGCCTTCTGTCGTGCACAGGGCATCCGCCAGACCTTCACGCTTCCGGCCTCTCCACACCAAAATGGGATTGCTGAGCGCCGAATTGGCATGGTCATGGACGTCGCTCGTACGTCCATGATGCATGTGGCTGCCCCCCATTTTCTGTGGCCGTTTGCGGTTCAGTACGCCGCGCATCAGCTCAACCTTCAGCCTCAGGTCTCCTTGCCAGAGACCTCCCCCGCCTTGCGGGGGACGGGGAAGGTTGGCGATGCGTCTGCGTTTCGGGTCTGGGGATCTCGGTCGTTTGTCCGCGACTTGTCTGCGGACAAGCTGTCCCCCCGTGATGTTCCCTGCGTCTTCCTTGGCTTCCCCCCTGACGCGCCTGGGTGGCAGTTTTACCACCCCACCTCGCGTCGTGTTCTGTCCTCCCAGGACGTCACCTTTAACGAGCTGGTGCCTTACTACCGTCTCTTCACCTACCGCACTGCGCCCCTCCCCCCGCCGCCGCTCTTTCTTGCGCCAGGTCCTCCCCCGGTATACCCCCTCCCCCCTCAGGGTCCTGCCCCGTCAGGTGTGTCCCAAGTAGACGCAGTCGAGCCTGTCGAGGTAGCTGTTGACTCTGGTGCTGCTAGAGGTGCTGAGCCTACGGGTGCCGGGTCTGGAGGTGCTGAGTCTGGGGGTGCTGAGACTGGGGGTGCTGAGTCTGGGGGTGCTGAGCCTGGGGGTGCTGGGTCTGGGGGTGCGGAGCCTTGGGGTGCGGAGCCTGGGGGCGCTAGGTCTGCTCGTGTGGCTGCCGGCGGTGCCTCATCGAGGCGGGAGCCACTCTTTCCACAAGAGCTGCGCGAGTGGTTTGCCCGCCGCTGGAGACTTGCTGCTGGTGCGGGAGGTGCTACTATTGTTGCTGGTCCCGGAGGTGCTCGTACTGGCGGTCCTGGAGCTGCTGGGACTGAGGGTGCTGCTGGGGCTACTGGAGTTGGTCCTGCTGGAGCTGCTGGCGGTGCTGGTACTGCTGGAGCTGGAGCTGCTGGGGGTGTTGGCGCTGGTGTTTCGACTGGCGCTGGTGCGTCTGGGGGTGCTGCTTAGGCTGCTGGAGCTGACGGTCCTACTGGAGCTGGTGCTGCTGGAGCTGGAGCTGCTGGAGGTGTTGGTGCTGGCGGTGCTGGTGGAGCTAGTGCTTCTGTAGGTGCTGGAGTTGGCGCTGTTGGAGCTGGAGGTGCTGCTGGCGTTGGTGCCGCCGCTGGGGGTACTGGTGCTGTCCGTGCTGGTTCTGGAGGCGCTGCGCGGTCGAGGCCGTACTTCGTTCCGCTCCTGGAGCAGGTTCTTGGTCTCTCGCCCTCTACTTTTCCTGCTCCTCCCTTAGAGTGTCCACAGCCTGTCCAGTCCCAGTCACAGTTACAGCCCGCCTCCCCTGTACCTGCTCCTTCTCCCTACACTGGTCCTACTGGAGGTCTTGCTGAGCGTCGTGAGCCTGCATCTCGTCCTGCGTCGCCTGTTCGTGCTTCTCGCACTAGTGGTCGTACTACGCGTCCGCCTCCTCCTGCGGTCCCCGGCACACACCAGATGGCGCTGCGTCCTTCCACTGCTCCTCTGCGTGTCCCATTGCCGTCTCCTCCAGAGTCCTCTCTTCCTACTCTTACTGACCCGGAGTCTGACTCTCTTTGTGCTGCTAGTCCTTCGGTCACGCGTCTTCTTGCTACTGTTGTCACTGACCCTTCCTTTTAGTCCACTGCTGCGTCTGCCCTAGTTGCTGAGCTTTTTGACTTCGCTGCTCGCTGTCGTCTAGACTACGCTGCTAGTCTCATTGCTGAGTCAAGGTCTGTCTGTCCTCCGTCCATCGGGGGTGAGTGTGCTCTTAGCACGGACGTCCTTGATGACAGGCAGGAGGAGTTCCACTGCTTTGCTGCTGCGCTGCCCCATCTCAGAAGACGAGCGGGTAGACCGCCACGAAACAGAGCCGGAGCCAAGGCTGAAGGTGTAACCCTATGACGACCGCTGTGTAGCCTGGTCGTCAGCCCAAGAAGCGTCTGCGTGACCTGTGAGGACCACTCGACGTCGCCCTCCAAGCACTAGCCCCATGCCCGACGTATCGCACACGTAGCGCAACACCCTCTTCGCTGCAGCCATGTGCTCAGGTCGGTGTCTCCCAGGAGCAACATAGCGTGCCAAGATGCTAAGAGGGTATGCAAGGTCAGGTCGTGTGCAGGTCATCAGGTACATGAGGCAGCCAACAAGCTCTGGATACGGGCCACTCGGCTCTACGGACTCATCCGAAGGCAGAGCTGAGAGCGAGTGGCGAGTAGACAGAGGAGTGGCCTGAGGCGAGGAGTACGTGAAGTCGAAGCGCTGAAGGACCTGCTGCACCATGTGTGACTGAGTCAGGGTAATGTTGCGCTGTGCTCTGTCCCGGGTGATCTGCAAGCCAAGGTAGCTGCGCAGTTCACCCAGGTCTGTGCACATGTGTCTCTTCTATAGCTCGGACTTCACGTGGGTTAGTCCAGCAGTGTCAGCAGCAGCAAAGACCAAGTTGTCGACGTACACGAGGATGTAGAACGGTGAGAAAGAGGTGTCGGTGCGTAGAAACAGCGACGGGTCGGTAGTAGAAGGAGCAAACCCAAGAGCCGCAAGTGTAGTCCTCAGTGTTTCGTGCCACTCACGGGGCGCCTGGCGGAGACCGTAGACTGGCCGCCGGAGGCTCCACTGGGTACCAGGGGGAAACGACCCAGTGAAGCCAGGTGGGCGGCGTAGCCAGATCTCCTCGTGCAGGCTGCCCTGCAGGAAAGCTGTGCTGAAGTCAAGAGAGTGAAGCTCGTAGCCGCGCTGAGCGGCTATGTGCAGCAGCACCCGAAGAGTGGTCATCTTTGGGGTGGGAGAGAAGGTCTGAAAGTAGTCAACTCCCTGCCGCTGTCTGAAGCCTCGAGCCACGTAACACGCCTTGAAGACAGGCGGAGAACCCGGCGGGCGCTTCACCCTGAAAATCCACATGCTACTGTTCGCCCCAGGTGGGGGAACCTCGTCTACGTTGTCAAACATTATACATGTTATGCTTGTGTAGGCTACAGTGGGTTAGCCTATAGGGGGTACACAATTCTAGGGTTTACTACTTGTACTCATTTTCACTTCTAGTTCATCCATTCCTGTTCGCTTATTCTCACATGGTATAGAGCGGGTCCTTCTACGGAGTGTTTTTTTTTGGGCCCACCGAAGCGCCCCCCCGAGGCGCGCTTTTTTTTTAGCGACCCCTCGGGTCGTCATTTTCCCTGCGGCCCCGCCGCTTTCACTGACGCAGCCCCGCCGCCCTCTCTGACGGGGCCCCGCCGCCGGCCCTTACGCGGCCCCGTCGCCGGCTCTCACGCGGCCCCGCAGCAGGCTCTGTCGCGGCCCCGCCCCGGCCTTTACGCGGCCCCGCCGCCTGCTCTCACGCGGCCCCGCCCCGGCTCCTTCGCGGCCCCGCCGCCTGCTCTCGCGCGGCCCCGCCCCGGCTTCTACGCGGCCCCGCCCCGGCTTTCACGCGGCCCCGCCGACGGCTTTGTCGCGGCCCCGCCCAGGCCCTTACGCGGCCCCGCCGCCTGCCCCCGTCGCGGCCCGGTCGCCTCCTGACGGCCCCGCCGTCCCTTCGTGACGGCCCCGCCGTCCCTTCTTGACGGCCCCGCCGTCCCCTCCTGACGGCTCCTGCCGTCCCCTTCTACCGGCCCCGCAACTGCACCTGCTGGCCCCGCCGCTGCACCTACCGGCCCCCACCACCCCCCCCCTTTTCCCGTCGCCTGTCGAGGCGACCTGAGGGGGCCGCAGAGGGGTGGCAGGTGTGTGGCCTCCCCTGCTTCTCCTCCTCCTTCATCGCTCACCTGCAGCAGCCGAGCCGCCCCACCGGCGAGCCGCCCTGCACCCGAGCCGCCCAGCAGCCGAGCCGCCCTGCCGCCGAGCCGCCGGGTCGCTGAGCTGCTGAGCTGCAGTTGCTGCCGAGCCGCCCTGCCGCCGAGCCGCCGAGTCACCGAGCTGCTGAGCTGCAGTTGCTGCCGAGCCGCCTTGCCGCCGAGCCGCCCGAGTCGCCCGAGCCGCCGAGCCGCCGAGCTGCCGAGCCGCTGAGTCGCCGAGCCTACTCTTCCCACCACTGGTGAGCTCTTGCCCTGCTAGCACGCTCACGTCGCCTGCTTGCCTGCCTGCCTGCCTTTTGGCTTGCCTGGCTGCCTGCCTTCCTGCTGCTAGTCCTGCTCCTGCTTCTACTTGCGGAGCCAGATGCAGCCCCAGCGACGCCTGCGTGAGTCCCTCACGCCCCAGCAGCTGCGTGAGTGGTACGCTGGTTGGGGCTGTAGGGGTGGCGACGCTACTCCTACTTCCACTCCTGCTGCTTCTACTCGTGGTGGCGGCCAGATGCAGCTCCCGCGACCCTCTCGCGTGTCTCTCACGCCTCGCCAGCTTCGTGAGTGGTACGCTCAGAGTGGAGGGTCTCTCAGTGCTGTTCGCTGCTCTTACGTGATTCGCACTGGTACTCGGACTGGTCAGCCTTGTGGGACACGTAGTCATACACAGTCCCGCTGCTTCGCCCGTCTGAGCGACGCCTGGCGTACCGTGTTTGGCGACGAGGCTGAGCTTCCCGACTGGGTGGAGTTGCTTAGGCAGAGGGTAGATATATATGCTC